AGAGAGGAGAGAGAGGAGAGAGGGGAGAGAGAGGGGAGAGAGAGAGGAGAGAGAGGAGAGAGAGAGGAGGGAGGAGGAGAGAGGAGGAGGGAGAGAGGAGAGGAGAGAGACTGAAGTTGACATGTAGTTAAGAAGTAAGCGACATAATATAGCAAAGTGATCGTGACAGTGAAAGTGCAGAATATAGCAAAGAACTTTAATTGCATTCCATTATCCAATAAGTAAGTACAGTTAAGTGGTGGTGAGACTGACCTTCTCGCAGTCCTCCTCGAGGCGCACGACGCGCTCCAGCTGCAGGAAGAGCTCCTCCTCCTTGTCGTGCAGCTCCTGCTCGCGGCCGCGCAGCCGCGCCTCCAGCTCCCCGCGTGCGCGCGCCAGCCCGTCGCGCTCCGCCTGCGGACACACACAGCACTCGCGTCAGCGCACGCTCGCTCCCGCAGGGAAGAGGAAGGACAGGGCGCGCGCGGCCCGTTTCTTAGGGCACTATTCGGACGCTCGCCTCTTGTGGATCCGAGCAGCCGGTCGCTAGAACTTTCCTCCGGACAGCAGCGGAACTCGACGTAACGGTTCGAAAATACGCCGCTGTTGGGACCCGAAGCCTACGACCCCACGGTCAACCATGATGCAGAGGTACCCATGTTGCCATTGAGGTATCACGGTGGATTTTTCGAGTCATCCTCTCAATACTATCTTTTCCATTATTTTACATTTTTCACTTCAATACACATAAATAGCATTATACTTATAATCACAATTGTTGCATTTTAATTACATTTGAAACTTATAATAAAATTTTAATGTTGCTTCCGTATTATTTCGTCCCAAAACGTTTCCTTACACGGTGCGGTCGAAATCTGTAACTAACAATATTAAATACAAATTATTTGAAATATTGTAGATAAATCTAAACTTGTTCCAAGAATTTTCAGTAATGATGTAGATTAATGATTTGAGATAAGACATTTCAAGATGTAATAAATAGGCAGGGCGGAGTCAAAAACACACACGATATTTAAATCTAATTCAATTTCGCCGCTAACAAACTTACAATGAACAAGAAAAAATATCCGCAATAGAAAAAATTAATAATACGAATACCACATGTAAAGATCCTATTTCTCTTGAATTGTTTCACATTCCTACTCTTTGCACAGAATCTGGCAATGAACTCTTCGCCGGAGCGCATGCGCCCGCGCGTTTCCCTTAGAAACCTCTTCGTGAAGACGCTTCACTGCACTTCGCTGCGTCCAACACTTCCGCACTCACAAGTCCTCTTACCAACACTGGTCTCACTTCTGGGTAGTCTCTAACATCGACATTTGATTACTACAGCATTCCGTGCAATTTGCTTCGAGTACGCTTTAAACGAATTCCCAGAAATGCCTTACATATTTATGTAGTTTTCGTCTTCTCAATTAAAATGTATTTTCACGTTCCTGGAGAACAAAATGTTCGTATGATTCGTTCGTTTGATAAATGTAATACACAGTCTCTATTAAAACAGTACGAGTCATATTAAAATTAATTAAACTTCAGAAGGTTTTATAGTAAATAACGGTTTCAGCCAAGGATATTCTCTTTCACCAATTTTGCTCAAGATTTTTTTTTACTTTCTCGCTACAGCTTACGCAGTATAGAGAAAGTATTGTAATGATGCGAAAAAAACTTACAATTTTCGACTGAAAACCTTACTGCCGGGCCCTGGTAACGAAAATGTGAACAAATCTTGTCCCTTTATAGTACATCACACACACACGCGTGCGTACGTGCATGCATATACACACACCCAATTGTTTTCGACCTCCTTTTGCCCTCAAGTACAGAAACTTGACGTGACATGAACTTGACTAGTCGTTGGGAGTACCCTGCATAAATATTGAGCCAAGATGCCTCTATAGCCGTCTATAACTGCGAGCGAAAGTGTTGCCAGCTCTGGATTTTGTGCAGGGTCTGACCTCAAACGTCTCATAAAAGTTCGATAAGATTAATGTCGGGCAATTTGGATGGCCAAATCATTCGCTCGAATTATCCATCATTTTCTTCAAAACAATCGCGAACAATTGTGGCCTGCTGACATGGCGAATTGCCATTCACAAAAAATCCATCGTTGTTGGGGTAAATGAAGCCCCTGAATGGATGCAAGTATCTGAACATAACCATTTCCAGCCCATCACAGGTTCAGTCGGACGAGAGGACCCAGTCCTTTCCTTGGAAAAACATCCCATGCCATTATGAAGCAACCACCGACTTTCTCAGCGCCTTGTTGACAACTTGGGTCCATGGCATTGAGGGGTCTGCGCCACATTCGCCTACCATCAGCTCTTACCAACTGAAATCGAGATTCATCTGACAAAGTCCTCGCTTCCCAGAAGTCTAGGGTCCAATCGTTAGGCTCACGAGCGAGGAAGACGCGCCGCAGATGTTCGGCTGCCATAGTCCATTAAAGTTCATTTTCGCCGCACTGTCCTAACGAATAGTCATTAAATTAAGGTCGACGGCCACTGCGTTGTCCGTGGTATGAGGTTAAGCCTGAAATTAGGTATTCTCGGCACACTTTTTCCATTGTGGATCTAAGAATTTTGAATTCCCTAACGATTTCCGAAATGGAATGTCCCATGCGTCTAGCTCCAACTACTATTTCGCAACGCATACGTTTTTTACGTGATACTACCGCCAGCCGTATATCTGCATATTGCTACACCATGACTTTTGTCAGTTCAATGTATATTGACGATATATTCTCTTTGTCACGGTTGGCGAAACTCGGGGAGAGTGTTTCCCTCCCGCTCCCCATCCGCCTCGTCTCCCTTGCCGCTGCGAGCGACATTTTCCTCGAAGCAGGAGAATGTCTCAGAAGTCACAGGAATGAATTGATAATCGCCAGGCACTGGCGGTGAATACCACATGGCACTGGTTGGTAACGACTGGGTGTCACACATTCCACTCGCCAATTCGAATTTTGCGAATGGGCTACGAGGAGCCCTGCAAGACTAGGGAGGGAGGCTGGGAGTGAAAGTGCCGAGTAATGAAGTCAGCCATCAGGCCACTTCAGCGCCAAGGCATGTGTTGTGGCGATCAAGAAATACACTGAATTTCGTCTACAGACGACTGCATTTCCGGGCGCGTCCAGCGTTAACATAAGTGAGTCCCGACGGACAAGACGCATCACGGCCACTATCTTTCAGAAAAAATACAATGTCGGATGGCATTATTCTGTTTGCCCCTCAGATTCATCACAACAGAGAACAATCTATTAAATGATAAAAGATGGACTGGGGGCAGAGAGGTATGTGGGTTGTGTATGTGTGGGTAGCATGCAATTTCCTTCAATTCTCTGTACTGTTCCTGTAATTTCTTCTCATTAGAAATTCAGCAAACTCTTAGTTCAGTAAAGTCTTAGAAGAGCAATAACTCCCTCTGTTTGCAGCACCCTGGGTTCCTATCCTGATGTTCATTCCTCTCGTCACCCCGCGTCAATCAGCTCTAAGGACTACCACTATTCTCGTGTTCCCGAGGAGCCCGCTCCGCCACGTGGTCCGAAGAGAGGGCTGCTGCTCCCTCGCGTGGGCGGGCGGGCGGAGGCTGGCGATGCGCCCGGGGCCGGGGCCGGGGCCGGGGCCGCGGCCGGGAGCGCGACCTTGCCCGAGATTGCACCGCGATCGATGCCTCAGCCTCCGCCACCCCTGCGCCGCCCGCCCCGGGCCAGACGCACTCGCCCGCGAGGGGCGCCGCCCGCGGCCTCCACGCACGAGTCACAACACGCGTCGTGACGCTCCATTAAAATTATGCTTGTTACCACTGAACTGGGATTCAGTCAACTGTACATTTCACTTGTCAGAAACTAGGTGATACAACATCACAAACTTTCTCGCAATACTGAGAGCGGTTATGTAATATTATATTGCAATTACTGGCCTACTATCACTTACGCCGTCACTTGAAAAAGTGCGGACTAATTCAAGCGAAGCGTCCGCGGTGCGATTCTGCAATTATACAGATCGGCAGTCGTTTCTTACTTCTACAAAACATATAAACGTGAATAAATCGCGACTGTTACAGTATTTCCCGCATATCAAACAGACAAGAAGGACACAGGAAGCAAATGTTACCAATAAACAATGAGAATTTTCTCGTATAACAAACTGCCGTGTCGCAGCGTAACCATGGTATTGTGACACTTTCACTTGAGATTCTTTTTCAGTGAAAGAAACAATGGAAATTCGAATTGTAATGATGCAAAAATACGCGAAACTACTCATATTATAAATGTACACGGCCTTAAAGTCTCATTTTGAAGAAAATATTTCATTAAGTAAAAAATATGAGATAAATATAGTTGTTTTGCGACGTTAATTTTCGGCAATTTTCGAAAATACCGAGAGTGAATTGAAAATGGGATCCGTACCATTTTTATATCCGTTTTGCCATATATTATAGAACGAGAAGCGCTTGCAACGCAAATAACAATGATTCTCATCGCTTCACCTTCGAGTTTGTCATGATTAACATTTTTTCGTTGTTTTTTGTTGTTTTTTTTTTTTTTTCTTTTCTTTCTCAAAATACCCCAGAGTAGCCCAATTTCTCCCGAACGACCTTCACAACTTGAGTCACTACAGTACTCACTTGCACTGCGTTAATGACAACACCAAGGGATTCATTCGCCCAACTATCTTATGTATACGTTATTGTTAAAATAGTAGGTAAATGAGGGTTAACGATGTTATGTTTCAACACATCCAAGTTAATACTCAAGACGTAATTCCGTTCAGTTTAAGTTTTTTTAAGTGCGTAATTTTCTGCATCTTCTATAAATTAAATATAAAGGTTATGTCATTGGGATTAGCGCTATCTCTTCGGAGGGTTAGACCATAAAATGTCAATATTCTTATCATAATAATCATTTTATTATAATAATTTTATCTATTCCGGCTTTAGATAGGGATTCGAAAGGCTAGAGAGACTTATAAGGCTCAAATCATAAAGGAACGTGTGGAGATCCGTATAACGACGCATTGTACACACTTCCAGGATAGGAGCGCATGAGATGTGAGCTGTAGTGGGTGGCGCTGCGTGCTCGGCAATGAAGGGCGAAAGCCGCAGAGAGGAGAAGGAAACGTCGGCGACATCACCACGGACGTCGCGCTCTTGGCACATCAATCACACACATTCCAAAGTGCTATTAACACTCAGTACGAAACCGTTTATTTTATTCTGACTCAAAACCCTTAACGGACGCGTTGCGCCGCCAACATTTCTCAGAGGTCAGGATATGAAGAAATTCGACGTAATCGTCACAGCACTTCAACCTTCAACACTGAGCTAGCAAGCCAACCAGCACAGGAATCCGTCGTTGATACTATATTTCAATTTCTTCGAGAGCAAAATACGCAGCATACGTATTACCAGACTTAAAAAAAAAAAAAAAAAAAAAAAAAAAAAAAAAAAAAAAAAAAAAAAAAAAAAAAAAAAAAAAGCTGAAGTTAAGCTTTCGTAATATTGAACTTACAATGTTAAATTATCGCATTACATTTATGAACATTCCAGGAAATTGAACAAGAAAATAGAAATATTACGAAATCGGAGTTTTACAGTGATATGGAGGGCAGAAGGCACGAAATAAATTACACATTTAAAAAAATCGATGCATGAATTTTCGCCTGGTCGACTAATACGTCGCCAGCACCATACCTGACAAGCTGCTAGCACAATGGAGCATTGGGATAAACGAAACTGTCTCGGTAAATGCTCCGGCAGTAAAAAAGATTCCTGAAAGTCTTATAATAAGGATGACAATTGATTGATTAATTTCCGAGCGCGTGAACGACTAAGGGCATTAATCCTGCAAGTGTAGTGAAATTTTTGCCGCGAGATGGCTGAGAGCTTCCTCAGTTGTATGGTGAGATCCTGAGTCGACCTGGACGTCAGCTTGCGGGGGTCCCCCCCTCCCCCACACACACACCAGGTACCTCCATCAGTGAGGCACCGCCCCAGCCAGGACAAGCTCTAAGCTCCCGACTAGCCTCTCGACATGTGATAGTGTAGTGTGTGTGTGTGTGTGTGTGTGGGGGGGAGGAAGTATGGGATGACCCGTTTATTAGGGCACTGCTCCGACATTCGTCTGTTCGAAGAAACCGCGGGAAAGTACCGATCAGTGCCGTTCGACCTAGCTACGGTATAATTCATTATTTATTATGAATTACGTATTTAAAATAACATGTCAAAAAAGGCATTTCATTGTTACAATTGCGGCCTGAAAGAACAGCGAGTGGCAGACGCATTCGAATTCCGCGAGCAAGTGGGGCGGCGTGGCGCGTCGCGTGTCCCGGGGGCAACGCAGGCCGCCAGCGCTGCAGCGGCCGCTTCTGGGTCAGCGTTGGGCAACGCGCACCGCCGCCGCGACACACTTGGGCGGTGCGGCACGGGCCACGAGCAGCGCCCGCCGCGCCGCCTCTCGTCATCGCGCAGCGCGGCCCGCCCTCGCTCACGCCAATTGCAATCGAAGATCGGTCAATGTTTTATTAGAGGAGGGTGCCGACTCAGTTTCTGCAACATATTTCGCTGACTTTTCACGGGCTCCCTGAGCATTATTTGACTGATACGATGTGTAATTCCGCACTACTTAAAGAAAATATTAAGCTATCTCGATTGGTCAGCTCTCCAACTTCGACTGATAAAGTACAAATTAATGATAATATCTCACCAAATAAAAACTGAACACATAATTATGTTTATTGTTGTAATGATGTTCTAATGTTTTTAAAGAATATCTAAATTTATAAACCTCTCCACATTTTCCATGACTTCTAACGGTTGTTCTACAAATTTCCAGGATTTTTCCCTGACTATTCTACAGCAAAGAAATTCCCCGATTTGTTTCGGTTTACACGTTTTCCAGAAAGTGGCCACCCTATAGAGAAAGCATCTCTTCATTTGAGCGACAAGTTTAGAATTAACTTATCTTTTATTTTGTAATTAAAGATATTACCGAAGAAAATCCAATAAATTGAAATATATGATTATAAACTATGGTTCTATTAAATTTCGCGATTATTGGGAGGGATATCAGGTCAACTACCTATTTGTCGCAGTACGACATATCGTATTCGAAATTCTGTAGTGTCAAATCGACTTTCCTCAATGAAGCAGGAATGAAAAGCCACTCTTTTCGGCCGCCATCCATTAAGAACAATTGAAACACACGAATTGAAGCTGAAGCGGCGTACGAGAACTCGTATTTCAAAAAATAGTATTTGCTTATGTGATTATTGTCTCTTACAGGAATATGGAATCACGAAACGACACTTGCAGGGTACCCCAAATAATATTGGTAAGTACTGTTTATGAGTCCAACTGGAGGCCCGCATGCGGCCCGCGGTGCCATTTACTATAGTCCGCGAAGGATTATTTGTCAAAATGTCAAAAGTGAAAGTTCCTTGCATCCATGTCGAGCGAGAACACTGTTCACCTAGCGCACGCGCCCTGCCTGGGTGAATACCCACTTGAATGTAAAAATAGATTAAGTTGAGATTTAAGGATTTTTTCTATTGAATTCAGAAATTAAAAATCATCCATATGTGTCTCACTGCATTATGCATGTGAGACCTGATATCACGCATGCCCCCCCCTCCCCGCTGTTTCAGAGCAGCTGCGCAAAGTGCCGAGCTCGACAATATGGGAAGTCAGGTGAGGATCGCCCAAATATGGAAATATGGCCCGCAAACATATGGCCCTGATTGTGGCTGACTGTGGCCCTTGGGGCCTTGCAAGTTGGACACCCCTGATCTAAACCGTTAATCATTATAACACACAGTTACGTTTTCATACAACCATTTTTTAAGTCCAAAGATCAATGGGTGTTTTCAAATTCTCTGATTAGTGAGTGGGAAAGACATGGAGTGTCTAGATAAAAAACGTTCAGATATTATAAATGTCATGAATGACGTTTTTATACTGCTTTACCACTGTTAGAGGGAACATTCAGCAGGATTTTGTCCTAGGTCCAGCACATACTATTTGATCTTGATAAATAAAAAAGCATTTTAATTTCATTTTCAAAAACACGTTTATGTAACTGTTCTCAGAGAGTAGTGACATTGTTCCAGAATTCGTAAATCAATTCATTAGTCAGGGAAAATTATTACTGAACGACATGAAAAATATTTTTGAAGATTTTGGTTTCCCGCATCCGGCATATATAATAGTACTTTTCTGTTGAAAATCTTATGCACGTCGTTCTCTTGTGCGATGTAATCGCACGGGTTCACCTAGTAACCTATAATACTTTTGGGCTTTGCATACAGTTGACGCTTTGTTATGCGTGTTCATGTAGAAGGCGAGGTTTCAGTGTTATGTACACGATCAACATAAAACAGCCAAGAGTTTGCGCAACGCAAAATTTCCAAGGTTTCCAATAATATTTTATGTCACAGTTTTTTTTAGAAAAAGAAACAAAAAAAAAAAAATAACAAAAGTACCTGGAATTCACAGAATTTAACGGAGAAACGTATTATAATGGAGCAACTGAGGTGGTATTTACACTGAACAACTGCTTATAAAATAGAACGAAAGTAATTATTTGTCTAATAAATCGAACATCTCCACAAATTCTTCTCACACAAACTAATAAGCGTCGCACGGTTATTCTCACACCTTCATTTGCGTACAATATTGTATTCTTTAAGACATTTGAAACCTGCTTCTTCAGCAAAACAAACTTCACGCTAACTTTGATTTTTTTATTGTTTGATTAGTGATTCCGGGCGCCTCAACTGATAAGGTCATTAGTCCCTTAAGTATAGTTCATGTTTTACCTGAGGTGGTAGGTGTGATCTTCTCCCGCTAGATGATGAGATCTGGCGCCAACCTACCGTCGGCTAGCAAAGAAATACCCCAACCAGGTATCTCCCACCAATGGGACACCGCCCCAACCAAACCAAGCTCTAAGCTCCCGGCATGTGTAATAGTGTAGAGCAAGCAAGTATAAGTGTGTGTATGTAAGGAGTGAGGAAGGGACAAGGAGGGGACAGGAGAGATTCTTGGCGTCTGCCCCGGCATTCGCCTGGTGTTGATTGGAGAAACCACGAAAAACTACCGATCAGACAAGCCGGCAGCGCGAATTCTCGTCCAGAACTCCACGTGGCTAACAAGCCAGTGTCGAACACACGAAATTAAAAGTGGCCATTGTCACGAAATTAAGCACGAACTATGTAACACGAATCTCCTCATTTTGTCTGTGCGTGGTTTTTGTTCTGTTGGCTACCTACTGTCGTCAGAAGTATATACGTGAAAGCCGATTGGTTAAAGGATAAAACACATGACATTAAATTTTCTTGAATATTTATAATTTAATTTGCACAATGGTAGAAATTGTTTTGAGGATTTTTAGTTTCCATTTACCAAAAACGATTCCACAGTACTCACGTTGCACTCTAGCTTGCATGATCACGCACCTTGCTTTTAAGCCCTTTGACTCCCCCCAACAAGCCATACAAATGCTTCCC